CCCCTCACTGATTACACTGTAAATGATAATCTACCTTAACCAAAATCAAAGTAGACTATCACTCACCCACACCAGATGGAAAACTATATATATATCGTCACAAACAGAACTGCCCGGTAAACCGTAGGCAGAGAGAGAGTAGAGGACAACTACGAGGGGCTGTGACAAACTGTTTCGTCGGAGTATATATATATATATATATCGTCTCAACAGTGTATCGGAGCCCAAAGCCGAAAATAAACAAAACAGAAAAAGGAAAGAAGTCAGGTTGAAAAGCTCCGCCTGTTCATCACCTCTTACGTACAAGGCCGGCCACGTGGCGGATGGTTATACTGTGACTATATTTAGAGTCGCTTCATTGCGATCGGCTGGGCGTGCATTTTCGGGAAAATAGCGAAACGTGGCAGTCAGCTCGACCGAAATGCAAGACATAATGAAACGCCGGAAAATGGGCAAGCGCACTTTCGTTAGATGGTCACACATATGGCTTCATAACCATAGTCACGGATCCATACAGTGCCCGCACAGCTCTCCAGCATGAGCTCGTGCGCAGAACAAAGTTGATTAATATGTTCGCATTTCTAGATGTATACAATACAAAAATATAAATAGGTAGGTGGTGACACCTGCTACCATTCTTCCCGCGGAACACATCTCCTGGTCATTGTATCTGTATTTGACCTACCAGTTGAACTAAATACAGCTATAACGACCGGGTGTTGTGTTCAGGGGAACAAGCTAGTACAGTGGCAACCCCGCTTGCGACACGTAGAACACCACCACCATGATAAACTACTGGAGGCAGTTAGTCACTGACTGGCTGTTTTTACACTGATCGTACGCGAATATGTGCCACATATTCGATCGTTTGAATGATATATACAGCAATGTACACATGTTTTTGTACGAAGATAAAAAAAAAAAAAAAAAACGGTGGTACGCAGATGCAACTGGCAGCCTCCATCTTGCAATTCTACAATGCCAACTTATGACTGCCGCTACCTTAGTCCAGTCTCGTCTCAGAGCAATCCTAGACAACAAACACACTGTGCAGTCGGAACCTCACTGCCCCATCTCTCTCTCTCTCTCTCTCTCTCTCTCTCTCTCTCTCTCTCTCTCTCTCTCTCTCTCTCTCTCTCTCTCTC